GTCTGTCTGTCTGGGAATGCATCACAAGAAAACTTCTGGACAGATATTTATATAATATTTAGATAGAATATTTTTTTTGATATTTATCTATAATCTTTTTACTGTAGGAAAATATCTCTGAAAAATGTATACTACCAAAATGTACCTAGGAATGAACCCGAATGGAGCGAGGGTGAGTCACTAGTATAATATAAATTTAATACCTAAATATCCCAACCCCTTAAAAAAGGCGTAAAAACATGTTATCTAAATAACATAAAATTTTTGCTATAATAGTGCTTTATTATGTATCTATCTATACTTAACTAGATAAAGTCAAGTGAAGTTTATAATTGACATTGAGATCATATGCAATTTTTCCCAGATAAATCAATATCATATGAAAAGTCAAAGAAAGGGCAAAGAATCCACACTGCAATAAATTTCATAAACATTATGTTCATCATACCCTTCTTATATTGGATATTTCATTTGTCATTTAAAAAATAATAATGAGTAGTGGGTATGTAGCATCTACTGCAGTAGGTGATCTTGTAAAGCTAAAATACAGCCTTAGCCTTTCAAGTATTCTTGTTGGGAATTTAAAATAGAACTAACGCATGAAATAAATCATATTGTTTATATGTAAAAGGAATGCATAAATGTAATCATGTTTATAACAAAAATATTATTTTTAAAATATCAGCATTATTTCCAAATTAAATAAATGTCATAGATATAAGAATTTTCCAATTTATATTTGAATTTTGATTTTGACCGTGTAGTGTTAGAAAATATTACAAAGAAGAAGGTACGTTTCTACAGATTGTGCGTCGCATATCGTAAATTATTTTAAATACGCTTGGGATTTAATGTATTTAATAGTAGATATTACTAAAACCAAATATTAATTATTTTCATGGGAGTATAGGCTCCATTCTTGTTAGAGAAAAATATAAAATTCAAATTGGAGATATTGTAGGTTATAAAAGGTACATTCACTTTTAATACAACCTGTATTATTTAAAAAAAATATAAATTTTAAATTAATTCAGCCACTCACCACAGATTTCTCTTCGTTTACGTCTTCGCAGAGAAAATAACACTTGTAAATTAACACGGAATTTTATATTTACTTATTAAAACACTAGCAGAACCTACAAATCCGCAAACCCAACCAATCCGTACGTAGTGACGTATAACTACGCCAAATGATTTTAGTTGTCAAAAAATCGATTCTTATAAATCAGTACATCACTACTCGTTACATCGGTATAAATAAAAATTAACAAATTTTGCGCTAAATACACATTACCCGGCACAATTTAATTTATAAAATATCTTAGTATATTTACAACAGTGAAAAGTGTTGAAATATTATATATTAAATATTTTTTCTCATATTTATCTCGATTTACATGATAATTCGTAATCGACAGCGAGTGACAGCACTGGACATGTTGAATGTGCTGTGTTTTCGTCTGGGGTGGGGATATCCTCCAATCACAAAGCGGCAAGCCGTCTGAAAAGGTGGCGTGATCGCTACGTCACCATGTACATAGCTAGAGTTAGCCGCGTTTGCGTATTGATCAATATGAAAGTAAGTTGCAAAACTTGCTTATTATTATAGTTAATAATGTCAAAAATATAATTTCTTACTGGAAAACTATGCTAATATTGTTTCAAGAAACTAATTCGACTGATAATTTTGTATAATTTCGTAATAGCTGAAGTTAGTCGTAAGAGACATCTAGCGTTAGTTAAAAAAACTAGTAACACTTCAATACTGACTTTTGAAAGTTGTATATGGAAATCTTTATATATATAATTCTTCTGTGAGTGTGTATGTCACTGAACTTCTCTCAAACGACTGGACCGATTTTGATGAAATTTTTTGTGTGTGTTCAAGGGGATCTGGGAATGGTTTAGATTCACAATTTGAATAATAATTTTCATCAAAAAAATTATTAAAAAAAGTTTGAAATTTTCAAATTTAAGACGTAGACAGGACAACGTCTGTCGGGTCCGCTAGTAGTATTTATATAGGAGAAAAATAGGATGTAATAATAAATTAGATATTCAAGTTTCGATATTCTTTTATTTATTTCACCGCTTAAAAAACGTTAATTACAAATAGGAAACACAACTTCTGGAATCAATTTCTAATATTTTACAGAATGCTATAATTAATTCTAAGTACCCATGACAGAGAACCGTTTGAAGTTATATATGGTTTTCCTGACCAGCAGAATCAAAACAGACCTTTGTTAATATTTAAAGGTATTATGTAAAAATAAATCATATTTTTTTATTAAATAAAAGACAATAAAAATTTAATTACATATTAAAAGTACAAAGTAATTTTTAAAGAAATACAAACAAATGTATTTCAATATATTCCTTTAACAATATTTAATTAAAAATGTCAGCTAAATAAAGAAATTTAGATACGATTATCAATTACAATTTGACTCTACTACATATTATGTATATTAAGTAAATAATTCGTATTACAAAATGAACAAACAGCCTCTATTTACATATATAATTACATATTTTAACGACAATCGTATTTAAATGTTATTTAAAGTTGCATATTCTAAGAACTGATCTTTCAGTAAACAGCCAAGTCGTATTAGTTTACAACTAAATAGGGAATAGGCGTGTGATTTAAATAAAGGTGAAATATTTTTTTATAATCTTTATTGCTTCTGAATTATCTATATCTTTAAATGTTATTCTTTTTGATTAAGAAAATAATTATTAAAAAGTACAAAAATAGGTGGGAAATTAAAAGTAGTCCAACGCAACGCCATTGGTCAGACCGAATGTGACGTCAAAGTCTATAATAACAGAGCGCTGATGTTTGGTGCTTACGATTGGTACTAACAATCTAGAACTGTTCATTCTTTGATTGCAATATTGCCCTAGACTATGACGTCACACTAAGCGCGCCAAAATGATGGGCGTTTAATGTGTCCGTATCTGTATAGTTCTAGTTTTTTGGAGCTGGATATTTTTTTCCAATTATATAACGACATAAGCTATTGTATATATATATATATATATATATATATATATATATATATATATATATATAAACAAAAAAAAACACGCATATTCCCTATTATAACTTAAGCGAACTTAAAAATGAAAAACTGTTTTACAACAAGTATCATTTTTTATTTAATTAATTATTATTTTCCTAATTTTTCTATCTATAGGATATTTTTTATTTGTCGATTGATATCAATCGAGTTTGAACAACATACTCTGGCTTCTGTCATGGAAACAAATGAAAACGGACTTACTCAATCACATTGAGACTACAAATGCATCATAAATAAGTCTTAAAATACGTTTGCTTTAGTTTTTACCTAGAATAGTGTCTAAGTAGCTACAGGAAGAATCATATTTAATAATTATTTACATCTAAATTATTTAATACCTACAGCGTGTCTAACATTCGAATCAGTCTTGAATTATATTGTTCATGAACAAGTCTGATTGGAATAGTTAGAAGATATCGCCCTTGCATTGCTTCTTTGTAAAAAAAAAGTTTCTCTATGGACTTCATATTATCTATTCCCACATATAAAAATGAATTGTCTATGGATTTAACTGTTTTTTTTAGTTCAACCGCCTTCACAAAGATGTTAATTTGAAATTATATACCATTAAGAGTGTTTTAGACTGAAATGCACTAGCTCAAACATATAAAAAAAAGTAAATTTTTAAAGAGCACATTGGTAGCTTGAAAAATATTTCAGAACTTAACTGCATGTCAGTGGAATTTTAGGTTTTTATGGGAATTTTGAAGTGTGTGTGGTTGTATGAATACAGTGTGTACATAAAAATGTGCCATCTTTTCCGCACATGGCAGTTTTGGCTCAACATTTTATTACGAGGGCATTTTACGACTTGATTTAATAAATATTCAAAACTGACATATATATATGGTATAGGTAGGTATATTTCAATGCAAAAAAATATGATATGGTGTGAGTTGATACATTTCTTTATAGTCACAATTTAAAAATATATATAGAATTTATTTTTGCTACAAAATATATACAACTAAGTCAGCTCGAGTAACAATAAAAAAAAACAAAACCATTTTGACTGAAACATGAAAATGTTTTTTTAATTTCTACAATAATTTTAGCAAATTGAATGAATGCTTTATACTAGAAACGTTTACTGAATATCTTTATTTTCCATATTACGATATAAAAGTAAAAGTATAAGACGTTAATTTAGACTGGGAATAACAAAAACATTATTAAATAAATAGATATTTTTATTATGTTAAAGGATTTAACTGGATTAGTGCGCGGAGAACATTTTTGTTGCAAAATACATTAAAAAAAAAAAACTATCGAGCTCAACAATAACAAAAGTACTAGATATACAATTAGCGACAAAAAATGTCCTCACCGAATAAGCATTCATTTGAACATTGAAGCGCTTATTATTTATTTATTTTTTGTTCGTTTAATGTTCAATTTACATTGTATATTTATTTCATTTAGAATAATTACCTAAACACAATTGGTGACAGTTTTAAGAGAACTTTTGCATGGTATCGTGTATCTAGTACTTTTCTAATCGACGATCGAACCACTTGACTATTTTTGTTATTATTATTAAACTAAATATAAAACAAAGTACATATCTTAGCATACTTCAGACTTCTTACAATTGATCATTGGAGACATTGATTGAAAATTGAAAAGGAACAGGTTGACGTTTAAATTTGTAAATCATAAATCGTTCAGTCAAAACCATGTCAAGTAGTATTCACAAAAATAACACAAGACTTGTTATTTAATGGGAGTATATTAATCTATACTAATATTATTAATGTGAAAGTTTGTAAGTATGGATGTATGGATGTTTGTTACTCTTTCACGCCAGAACGGCTGAACGGATCTGGATGAAATACTGATACTTTTTATCCCGTTAAAAATGTACGGCTCCCGAGGGATAGGTTTGTTTTAGTTTTATTATATAATATTTTACAATAGAAGTCTCCCCTGCAGTATCTCGAGGGCCGCCTTCTTGCGCAGGTAGGGCATGTGTGCCTGCGAGAAGCTGTAGGGCGCGTCGCGGCAGGAGAACTCGGCGAACGTGCACGCGAACATGCCGCAGTCGCTGCCGTTCATCTGCTGCGGGATATCCTGTGGGAGAGAGGGGAAGCTGTTATACAAATTAAATCAAAATATACTTTATTCAAATAGACTTTAAGAAGCATTTTTGAATCGTAAATTAAATGTCAGTGTAGTCAGTCCGTGAATCTACCACCGGCTCGGAAGGCAGTGCTGATGAGAAGAGCCGGTGAGAAACTCAACAGTTGTTTTTCCGTCTCAGCCCTTTACCTTTTCCTTAATCCGGTGAACCAATTCGGATAAAATTTTGTATTAAGACAGTTTGAGACTCTGGGAAGAACATAGGTTAGTTTCTATCCCGGAAATCATCCCTTAAGGGGGTGAAAAGGAGGTGGAAGTTTGTATATTGTATCAACCCGTTGTAAGAGTGCATACGAAGTCTTTTAACAGTTATACACGCTTGGTACTTGCGATGACGTCACACGCGGTGCTCTTAGTAAACAACAAAGTGTCGTGACGGTCGAAATATTGCATAACACTTGCTTCCGTATAGTTATCATTCGCCTAGTGTCGAGTATAATAACGTGCGATAAGGAATTTCGTTCAAAACCCATTCATTTTCAACTTACACCCTCTTTTGGAAATTTTAATTAAAGGATCTTGAATGTTAATCAATTACACACATTCAGACAGCACACAGTTTTGATTACATCATTTGTTTACTTAATTAGGTTAATTACTTTAATTATATAATTTGTTTACTTAATTGGGTGGCCACCAAATGACCCTCCTCTATCGGCTATCGTAATTTAAAATGACGATATCCCTTAAGTTTTGTATGGGAGCTGTAATATATATAAATTATGTCGTTGGATCTGTATTAAATACGCTCACATATTAAAAATGGCTTATAAGCCTCCCAAAAAATGACATGTATGATGTTATGATGTGTGTGGATACCTTGAGGTTCTGCGTGGTCCAGCCGCTGTCGTCGAAGGGGCGGCCGCGCTTGTCGCGGTGCTCGTCGCGCAGGTACTGCAGCAGCGCGGCCAGGCACGGCGCGTTGGCGGCGCCCATGCTGTCCAGGTAGGCCACGCGCCGGCGCCGGAAGTCCACCAGGCTCAGGCACCAGTGCACGCCCAGGTGCACCGGCACCACCATCAGGTCGTGCGCGAATATGTCCACCTGCGTCACACATACACACTTCATATTCCAACATTCAGTAAATTGTGTCACTTTGTGAAGTGGACTGTCGGGGATTCGGATTCCAACGTGACATATAAAACGAGCATTTAAAGGAGCAATAAATGTAATTGTTAAATACCAAATACTGGTTTTCTGGAAATCATTCTGAGCTGTTTTAATACTATAAACGTGAAGGTATTTGCTTTTTTGTTTGTTTGTCCTTTCACGTGGAAACAAAGTAACGGCGTAAATGCCGTGATTTTTTGTGTGGAGATGGCTGGGGGAATGCAGAGTGACATAGGCTACTTACGAGGAAAATTATCTCATTCCCACAGGAAAACACATTATAATACAAATCACAACAACTTATCACACTTGTGTATATGTATATTAACTAGCGACTCACCCTTGCTTTACTCGGGTTTGTTCCTAGGTGCAAAGTAGTCCCGTCAAAATCAGTCCAGTGGTTTCAAATATTAACCGGAACAGACAACAGACAAAAACCTCAAAAAACCTTTTTTTTGAAGTACCATATATATTTTCATATGTATTTAGTAGAACATTTTTACGTTATAAATTGATACTTCAATCTTATTTATTATTTATTTGTATATAAATTCAATTTTGAAGGAACAGTTTAAGTTACCTCCTGACTGATTTCAAATAACGCCCAAATCCCTGAGTCCAACTATATCAATTTTACAGGAATAGTCTGTAATATGTAAGGCGCAAGAATTTATGGCGCTAATTTAGATAAAACTAACATGTCGTCTACAATATTTATTTCATTAAATAAATATTTATCTAATCATTAGAGATCTATGGGTATATCTTTATTAATATTATAAAGAGTTTGTGAATTTGTAACGCTGTAGAGGGGTAATCTCTGGATCTACTGAACCGATTTAGATGAAATTTGATAAAAAGATAGTTTGAGGCCCAGGGAAGGACATAGGATACTTTTAACCCCGGAAATCATCCCATAAGGGGGTGAAAATGGGAATAAAAGTTTGTATTGGGAATCAAGCTAGGGACAAACCCGAGCGAAGCGAGGGTGAGTCACTAGTAATGTTATAAAACTCAACTCTATATGACTCATACCTTGGTAATTCTATTTAAAATATTTTATTCAGGCCATAATCTAACTAGACAAAACTTATATTTTATCAGATATATATTTCTCATAGGCAAAAAAAAAAATGGTTTGCATAAATTAATTTTTTTCGCGGTTTAATTTATATAATTCACAAATTCCAATGCTAAAACTCCAATTATAATCACGGGACAGAACAAGGTTTTGGACATATCAAAAATTACAGCTGTTACAGTATGATATGTACTATTCTAAATCGATACATATAATAAAATTCTGAGTTGAATCTATACATTACATATTTTTTTGAAATTGTTTATTGAATAGTCATTATTATCGATACAGAAGCAGAATCTTTAGTTTTTAGAATTTTTGTCTGTCTGTCGGTCTGTTTGGGAACGCATCAAGAGAAAACCACTGGACAGATTTTGATGAAATTTTAGTATATGATAATAGCTGGTTATCCGAGTCAACATATAGGATACTTTTTTATTGCGTAATAATATCTCATCTCTGAGAAATCTATACTAACGGTTAAAACGTATCTAGGGACGAATCCGATTGGAGCGAGGGTGAGTCGATAGTTATAAAATAATTGTAAGAAAAGAGAAATAACACAAATACCTTACAAATCTTTAAACTATAGTAAGCTGGGCCCTTAGAGCCCTTCCACACGTACCTTCCTGGTCCAGCGCCGCAGCCCCGCCTGCCCGCTCTGCATGAGCTTGGGGTAGAAAAACGTGTTAGTTGCGTACACCTGAAACAAAACATCATTTATTAATCTATAGCCACTAAATATAGTAGTAACAGTTTTAGACGTCATAAAAGTCATTATAACCTTTGACTCTCTCGCGACCATGATTGCTGGAAAGTCTTCGAAACGTCGCCTCGGGACCCTTAAATATTCGCGTAAATTGGAGGAAGTATTATGTTAAGAGTAACTCACTTTAGGCAGATCCTTGTTCTCCTCACTCCTCTGCATCAAAAGGTTCATGTAGAAGTTGATCACCTCATCATTCAGCCAGTTCAGTCCGGCGAGGGTCTGGAGGTCGCGCCTGGAACATAAGCAGTATCTCCAATAACATTTTTCCAATTCTTAAATTAAAAGATTATATTCCATTCAATTTTCTTATGCCTTTAAAACCTGCCAGTATTTTATTGTTACAATTTTTTAATAAACGTCATTTCGCAGTCCTGAGAAGATCTGGCGAATGAAATTAAGCGGGATTAAAAGTACTTTCATTTAATTTTTTTTGTAAATAAAATTGTAAAAAAAAAACATTGAAAGAGTGGAAATTAACATCGTTTTTATTTTTCACTAACCCTATAAGGATGCTACCTTTTTGAGTTATCCCGATTTACTATTACATATTGAATAAGAGGAAATATGTAAAATAGGAAACATGCGTGTGATTTCAATAAAGGTGAAATATTTTTTTATCATCTTTATTGCTTTTGAATTAAGCCTATGTATCAATATTTTTTAGTGTAATATATTTTTTATTGAGAAAATAATTATTAAAAAGTGCAAAAGCAGGTGGGATATGCAAAGTAATTAAAACGAACGCCATTGATCAGACCGAATATGACGTCAGAGTATATCATAACAGAGATTAGCAATTTTGTCGCTTACAAATTGAGTCGTCATTTTTCTGTGTATATCATACTGTGACGTCACACCAAGCATGCGAATTGGCGGGCGTTTAAAGTATCCGTATCGGTATGATATTTAAAAAATCTTTTTTATACTAAATTTTAGTTTTTTGAAGATGGTTATTTTTTTACAATTATATAACGATGTAAGCAATTCTATGGAAAATAAAAAAAATGACGCATATTTACTTATTTGCTATTGTAGATGTAAATTTTACTATGGGCAACATAATCACTAAGTGATAAATCTCTTTCATAAAAGTATTAAAACAAAAATATTTTCTACATTCCATACAGCAAATTTTTCACCTTTCGTAAATAAAAGCCCAAGCAGTAAAAGGAATTTCGATAGAACTAGCGGCTCACCCTCGCTTTGCTCGGGTTCGCCTGTCTCATCAAAACCGTACATTTTTCCAGGATTAAAAAGTAGCCTATTTGTTATTCTTTTGTCTGAACTATATTATTGTGATGTATGAACTATATTATTGTAACTTTGTAAGGTTTCATTAAAATCCAATAAGTCGTTTTTGTGTATTAAGCTATATAAGTTACTATAGTTTTTTAACTATCCCACGGGAACTCTTTAATTTTCCGAGATGAAAAGTATCTAAAATGTTGACCGGGATATAAGGTACCACCATGCCGAATTTTATTTAAATTTGTTTAACGGTTTCTGAGATTAGCCCGTACAAACAGACAAACAGAGAAACAAAAGATTAAAAAAACTCTGGAATTGTTCTATTTCTCTTCTTACATCCCCCTGAATCGGATTTTAGCATTTTTATCTATGTACAGACATTCAACCTGTACAGTTTTATTATATGTATAGATGTACGGACATATACCGATATATGAGTAATATTCACCTAAAGAACTAGAAAAGGAATTAGAATTTTCTTCTAATTATACATATGTTTGTTCTAGACATGCTGTAATAGCATCAAACAAAGTTACACGTTTTTGATTTTAATCCGCAATCACCGACATACAACTCTCCTCTCAGTAAGCCATTTGCCAAAGAAATTAAGAAAGACGGAGAATATCATACACTCACCTATGTATCCTTAAATTAAATTTCTCCACCAACAATTGATTAGGAGGTCCGGGGCCTAGGGCTTTATTGACTAACTTTTCTTGTTCTGGAGTCAACGGAGGAAGCTCCACAGTCGGCGGAGCTTCTTCTATCAAACTCTCTGGTATACTAAATTCATATTTTAACTTATGCTCTAAATGTGCTACTTTCTGCTCGTATATGACTTTTGATATGATATCCGACTCGCGCTTGGCATCTTTTATTTTTTCTTTATTTTCAGAATCTTTTTTCTTATATTTGGAGTTTATTCTTGAGAGCCAGTCGCCAGACGTGATTGCTTTGTCTCTGTAGGAGTCTCGTAATGAGTTTATAGGTTCAATTCTGACTGAAGAAGATGTACTGGTTTCTGATGGGACCACCTCAATTTCTGAATCCGAGGAGTTTATCGAAGCAACTGTGATTGGATCATACTCCTTTGTAGCCTCATTCTCTTTCTCCGCACTAAGACCTTTTTCTAATAATTTAATTTCATTAAGTGCATTTTTTTGAGTTCGCTGCGTCAAACGGAACGACGCCGAATCTTCGGCTAAATTAATGATATCTGGTTTCCCTAAAGACGCTGGCTTGGTCGTGTCTGCGAACCTCCTTATCAATTCTTGATAATTTCTTTTTTCATCTAAATTAAATACTTCGGACAGTGTTGCTCTCGCATTGCCATTTACAGTTCTATTTCTAGATTGTGGGAGATTCTTCTGAGTTTGCATCCATCTCGCAACCGGTGTTGGTGGTTTTTTGTACACTTTCGTGATACCGGCTGGAGCTTTAAACTTACTGTATGTTCTAGGAGACGTATTTAAATTCCTATCATTTAATTTTCTGTATATTTTATAGTAATTCACTTTATCACTGTCTGTTTCCGTGTTATTACTTTTGCTAATGAAGAATTTGTATGGCTTGATTGGGGGTGGCGTTGTGACCTTTTTGACAAATATAACATCATCATCATCATCATCCTGATTCTCATGTTCATCTTCTTCGTCTAGGTCTATGTAAACTTTTGAAGGTTTCTTTGATTCTTGCTTAGCTTCTATCCATGTTACCTAAAACAAATGTCTTATTTTAATATAAGAGATAACAAAATCAGGAATATATAGAATTATTTGAATTATTGAGCTTGTTCGATAATTTTTGGTGTATTCATTTGGAATGATTTTTCAGTGCAAAACTAAAATAATAGTGTCTATGTGGAAAACAAAAATTACTTTAATAACATCATCACAAATCTTGAAAAATATGAACGATGGAAACATTTATATACTGACCGCACAATCTTTAATTCTTTAGTTTATTTGTACTAAATCAAATCACAGAAAAATCTTAACTAACAATCTGCCTATGCTATGCTTGGGTGCATCCTTAGGTGGTTCTAAAGCTATTGACTAAGTAGTTATTTTATAAGATATTTTAAGCTATTGCATAGCTTCTATCGCGGGCCTTGAGCGTGGGGACCGAATCCAGAAATTCCGTAACGAAAAAAACCTGACACCCCCCACTCCGACCGGCACAGCGGTGATACTTTTTAGTTTTTCCATCTATCGATAAATACCAGAACTTTTAATGACTTTTTGAAATATCACGCTTGTCTCTTTAGTTCAGCAACCCGCCTTTAGGTGGCATTGGTTGTATTGGAAAACTACTGTAATCAGCTGTTTGTGAGAAAGTATATAGGTGTATAGGTATTTATCATCTATGTACAACAGTGAATATCTGTACTCGTATAATTTGTGTACAAAGTGTTTTAAATATGAATAAACAAAGTGCATTTATTAATGAAGAAAGTCAAAGAAAAAAAATATTGCATTAATAAAATAAATAAATAATTATAATTGCATAAGTTGATAAAAAATGCTATGCAATAGCTTTACCGCGGCAGTCTCCGAGTGCCACATTTATTTATTTTTTGTTACAAACTTGCAAGCATTGATCAAAAGTTATTTTCTATAAAGTATAGTAAAAAATTTTACATCGATTTCAAATTTAAAGAAAATAAACAAAATTGCTTTTGCCTATATTAATATATACAGCTTTAACTACCTGATGTAATAATGAAATAGCCAAAGACATTTCTAGACATATCACCTCCAGGCAAATTTCTAAGAAATCTATTGTTAACTGTAACGCCGGCGTGTTCGCGGTCATGATATAATATACGGACACTCCCATTAAATAATAAGGTAAGATCATGTGAATGTAATTTAAAATGCATACTTTCAACTCACACTCGCTTCGTTATGGGTTCATCCCTAGACAAAACTATCTCATAGGAACCATACATTTTTACAGGATAAAAATTGTGAGGATAAAGAGCGTGAAAGAGTAACAAGCAAACAAACACACAAAAATCAAACATCCATAGATCCATCCATCCTCAGAACGTTTCACATTTATAATATTATTGGGTTTATAAAATTTAAAATTGGGCTACATCTCCCATTTTTATACTCACAAAAAAATAAAAATAAAAATCTCATAAAAAATATTTTGTGTTCTATTGAAGACACTTAATTTGTAGATGAACAAACCTGTAATGAGTCTTTACAGCCTAATAATATATAACTAATATATGTAATATTCACTCCTACCACATTATTCATGTGAAAACCTAATTTGAATGGCATCTTGGTATGTATTTTTTCTTTATAGTATTTTTTTGTTACAGCTATTTATAATTTATTATATTATACCTTATTTTAATATTATTGAAATTTACATATTTAACTACTAGCGATTTACCCTTGCTTCGCATGGATGCCTCCATAGGTACATTTTAATTTTTTTGAGGGGAGCCCTAAACCTTTTTCTAAAAAAGTAGCCTAAATTACTCCTTATAACATCAGGTATTTGCCAGTGAAAATCCCGTCAACACCGGTCCAGCCGTTTCTGAGATTGGCATGGACAAACATACAGACAAAAATTTTGTGTTTTTCTTATAAGTACCATATATAATTTCATATGCATTTCTATTCTTTTTAGTAAAAAGCTATTGTTTTGACATTACAAACAGACACTTTAATTTTATTTATTTGTATAGATTACAATTTTTGTTTACTATTTTTAAAGAAGGAACAAGTAGTACCTAATACTGCCACATCTTTTACAAAAAACTTTTACAATCAAATTAATATTATATTCATACTGTTTATTTGATATTCAATAATATAATGTTTATTTGATAATTGGCACATAACCTATTTTTTTTAATTAAAATTATGGAAATAATGTTATTTATCCTTTAAAATTTGTCACTATGGGTACCATTTTATTTCATAAAGTATAAAGTTTCATCAACAGTAACAGACTATATCACAGTTATGACAAATTAAACAACTACCACAACTGCAACAGAGATAAGTTATCAAAATTGTCAAATGAGAAAAACACTAATATAGCATTATATTCTCAAGAATACTTGAAAATTGTTATTTTATTACATATTAAGAAAATTGTGAACTTAAAAAATGTTTCTGACATAAACAATTATCAATATATCCAAGCATCTTTGTATATTACTAAGAGTCAAGCTATAAATACCTCTTGGTCATCATCATCGTCATCATCAATAACTGCTTGAATGACAGGTCTTACTGGTGTGTGCATTCTAGGTTTTCTTGTTGGTGTGGATGGGCCATTTGAGGTAACATCCACTAATTTAATTGGAACAGTCCTAACTCGACTACCTAATTTGGTTATCCCATCATTTGGTGTAGAAGTACTAGGATGCCCCCTTTCTATTTGAATTGGCACATATCTAACATTTTTCTTTTGTTTTTCTTCTTCCCAAATATCTGTAAAAGACGGTTGATGGTTAAAAATTGTGAGATTTAATCACTGTACCAATTTCAAAGAAAGTTGTTGTTGTTCTATTTATTACCTTTGGGTTCCATAATACCAGGGAAAGATGTTTTCCTTAATTTCTTAAGTCTTTTTAAAGCTGGTGTGTCGTCATCTGAAGAGATATCGTCGTCGTTCCTGCAAAAAGCGAGATTTGAAGTATTTACTTTTAAATAACCTTATAAAATATAATAAAAGCTGAACTTACATCCAAAATTTGGAAGCTACATTCAAGGGGATTTTGATCATGTTTTCTAATGTTTTTCTATTTCTAATTAAAATATTTTACCGACTTTGCCGCCATAACTAAATTACAAGTGTTGTAAACAAGAAATGTCAAAGCCATACCTGTCTCTTTTGAAGCTTGTCTTGATCGCGGGATCGTCGTCGTTCCATCCAAATGAATTAAGTATAGTACGCACATAACCCACTATGGCATTCATTTTAAATAATTATGTTTCCATTACCGTTAATAATGTTTTGAATGGTTTAAAAATTATAAAATTGTAAAAACACGGTTCTTCACAACGACAGCACACAGCAGCGGTGCAACATAACCACAGATTAAAAATACAATACAGATTATTAAAAAAAAATTGGAAAGAATTTTGCTTTTTTCTTTCGCCAGGTGTCGCGATCACTATGATTCTCAGTAGTCAGTATGTTATAAAGCTCTATAGCGTGGATAGGTTTTTTTTTTCATTTTATTTAAAATTTAATTAAAATGAAAAATTGTGCAGTGTCAGGATGCAATGAAACTGACTATCATTTGTTTCCAAAAGACACAAACTGAAAAATTTGTGAGCTAAAGCAATAAGACGACCATAATTGGCGAAATCATAATCTTTATATATAAGGCTATGTGAACATCATTTTAAAGAAAGTGATTTTAAAACTTAAATTATGTAAATATTTTTTAATTTGTTTGTAAATTTTTACATGTTAAAAACAGAGTTTCATATACATTTTAATCCTCCATTTTACCCCTTCATGGTATTTTACCCCTTCGATAAATTCTGAAACATTTACTTATTTAATTTTATTAAAGAGCATTAATACCAAGTTTTTAGTTACTCTAATCATATTAAATAATTGTTTGCCCACATAAACTTTATTATCCTATCCAAAATGAATTCTTTGTTATCGGATGCCTACATCATATTATAAAGAATACTTCCTCCAAATTTCACGCTTGTACGACCAGCAGTTTAGGCTGTGTGTTGATCCACCCGTCAACCAGGAGTCAGGACCACCACAGGATTCACCTCTCCTTCTCAATTCATCATTCAGCTGCTCTAATTTCCAGGTACAATACATTGCACAGGTAAGCTGTAAGATGTGAACAAAATAGAAGCAAAAATTAGGTTCAAAAGAGATATCATAATATATACCTCAAACTCAGATTGAATGTAAATAGATCAAACGTGTAGCGCTAATTCATCTATTTTATTTGTCATCCATGTGTAGCACAGAGCGCTCTCCTTTCAAGAAATCTTCCCTAATATGAATGTACCTACATATTTTGATAGTTATTGATATAATAATTTTAATAAATCTTTTCCGGCTTGACTTAAATAAAAAGAAATACAAAATAAGCAGTAAGAGACAAAAAGCTTTCAGTATTTTTTGAATTCCTTACCCTTTGCATCACTCGGTGTGTGGCACCTTGGAAACTGAATTTTACGATTTTATACAAGAATATCGTCTTTTCTTTTTTTTATACCACGTCGGTGGCAATCAGGTATGCGGCCCGCCTGATGGTAGCGGTTACCGCAGCCTATGGATGCCTGCAACACCAGAGGCATCATATGTGCGTTGCCGACCCTTTAAAAACCTATTTACTCCCCTTTTGAAGGACCCCATACCCCTCTGGGAAAACCTCGGCAGGGAGTTCATTCCACAGCGAAATGGTCCGTGGGAGGAAATTCCTCTGAAACCGAACTGTACGGGACCATTTGGGCTGCAATGTGTGAGCATGATCTCGCTGTCGATGGTGAGCGGTGCGATGATAGAAAGTGGCCGTGTGCATCCTTTTGAACAATTCTTCGGAACACAACTCATTGTACAAACGATAGAGCACACATAGGGATGCAAAATCTCTTCTTTGACTTAGGGACTCTATATCGCTTGTGAGTATTGGATCGTCGACAATTCTCACAGCTCTCCTTTAAACCGAGTCAAAAGGCCCAAGCTGGTATGCCGGTGCTCCCGCCCAGAGATGTGAGCAGTACTCCATGAGGGGACGGACTTGCGATTTATATAAAAGCAGTCTTTGTCCCGGCGTGAAGTACCGCTTCGCTCTATTAAGCACACCTAACTTTTTGGATACCAACTTGACCTTGTGTTCCAGGTGACTTCGGAACTGGACGTCGCTGGATATGTCGACACCAAGAATACCAATACTGTTGGAGATGGTTAGGGGTGTGTCCTGGAATTGAGGGGCCACAGTAATGGGATCCCGATGAACTCGAATAAAGCTCTGACAATTGTTTTTTTACTGGACCTCGAGACAGCATTTAGTTTCACATCAGAAAGATTTGGATCATTCGTGGTCCAAGCCCTGAACGCGGCTTGCTTAACGTGTCTTGCTTTCTTACAACCTTCCTTCTTATTAAGTATCTCGTACAACTCGCTTAATTTTGTTCATTACTTCTATTTAAAACTAGCGGCTCACACTCGCTTCGCTCGGTTTCGCTTCTAGAAAAACAAAAACAAGTCTATCCCTTGGGAACCGTATATTTTTTCGGGAGAAAAAGCCTATGTGTTATTCCAGACTATAGTCTATCTCTGTGCCAAATTTCATTCAGATCCTTTCAGGCGTTCTGGCGTGAAAGAGTAACAAACATACATACATACATACATTATTTCAAACTTTCGCGTTTATAATATTAGCAGGATTAAATGAATGCCATAATTCATTCGGACGAAGCCGCGAAGATGGCTGGTGTGTGCTGAGTTTAAGCATGGATGTATAATTAATTTTTGTTTTGGGGTTCAAATATTTTTTAATGACAAACATGGTTATTGCGGAGGCCGGAGCATAGACTACTATTGGCTCGGAGGATGGTAAATGACAAATGACAATTTTGACATTTGACAAGTGCGGTAATTTCAATTTGTACAGGCTCAGAGATCAATCGAAATCGTAATTCGTAGCTTATCAGAAATAACCTTAGTTTATCAGCATCTTCCTTGAATCTATTTAGAAAAAATATCAAAAATCAATTGTTTGTGCACATAACAAAGTCACTTATTAAAACAAAAGCTTTCTAGAATATAATAATGTTACAACCAGTAATGCATATTTTGAAACAGAAAAAGATTATTTTAGCTAGTGGTTCACCGAGAAGGAAAGAATTAATCGAAAATATTGTAAGTTTAAGTGCAAGCAAGAAACAATTGTATGAAGTATAAAATAAATTAATTAGACAAATATGTTACAGGGATTAAGTGTGGGGTTATGTCCATCTCTCTTTGAAGAAAACCTTGACCCTAAATCTTTCAAAGGATTTTCAGAATTTGTGGAAGAAACAGCTTTACAAAAAGTTTTAGAAGTTGAGAATAGATTAAAGAGTGAAGGACAAATACCTGATGTAGTAATTGGGGCTGATACCATGGTTACATTAGATGGGTCTATGTATGGTAAGCCCACATCTGAACAGGAAGCATTTGATATGCTTAAAAGGTTTGTGTAATTAAAAGTAGTAGTGAGTTAGTAAATGTAGTAAGAATAGAAATGTAATCTTTACATTAATTTTCATAGAAATGAAAATATTCTGAGATTTTTTAAAACAGGAAATGAGAATTTCATTCATATTTCAGTCTTGCTGGTAGAAGTCACACAGTGTACACAGGTGTGGTGGTAAAAACTGTAGACAATGTTGTCAAGTTTACAGAACAAACTAATGTTACATTTGGCAACATAGATGATGAACAAATAAAAGGATATATTGCTACAGGAGAGCCTATGTGAGAGCCTTAATTATAATTTTAACAAGTTATTTATAAGTATGGAGTATGGAGAATTTAAATATTATTGAAAAAAAGGTAGTATTATTGTGTTTAATGTGATTGGATTTCTAAATTTATTAAACGGTAATATTTATTAGCTTTCATGAAATAAATTTAACAGAAAATATTAAGGTGAAGTGTAAAAGAAGTAAAAATGGATAAAATTCTTTCTATTACATTTGTATCATTGATAAATGTTTAATTAAACCATTTCAGGGATAAAGCTGGTGGTTACGGTATTCAAGGTGTGGGAGGAACATTCATAGAAAAAGTTGATGGAGACTACTTTACTGTAGTTGGCTTACCATTGTATAGATTATGCTCAGTCCTTTATGATATCTTTAAGGAAAATAAGTAATGAATAAAAAGAAGACAAAGAAAGAAAATAAACAATATATTGCATATCAGGATGGCATTTGTATTTAAAATAGCTACAATGTTGAAACTTAGTATTGTATTAATTTAAAAAATGGTGATATAAATAGATGAGAAATTATTTTTAATTATTAATATATGCGTGATTTTTTTATACAATAGCTAACATCGTTATATAATTGTAAAAAGAAAACCAGCTCCAAAAAACTAAATTTAGTTTAAAAAAATACCGTTTCGTATTGTTTGGCGTGACGTACACACATCATATAACTGCCTCGGTGGTATAGTGGCTAGCATGTACGGCTGCACACCCGGAGGTCCTGGGTTCGAGTCCCGGGACGGGCCAAGTTTAGTTATTGAGTCTTTCTGTAAAGTAAGCCTCAGTAACAGCCCGGAGTTGGGAAGTTGGCGGTGTTTCACCCCCGTGCCTTGGAGAGCACGTAAAGCCGTCGGTCCCGCGCCTTAACTCTCACTGGTCGTGTCGAGTGGTCGTCCCACCAGAGTATGAGAGTGACAACAATAGAGAGTGCACGTTCTGTCGTCGTACACTTGTGCACTATAATATTCCTGCGCAGTTGGCTAGTCTCAATGAAATTGGCCGCCGTGGCCGGAATCGGTCAGGAGAACATCATTATATCACAGTATTATAAACACAGAAAAATAATGACTCGATTTGTTATTATAATACTTTGACGTCATTCGGTCTGATCAATGGCATGCATTTCAATTACTTTAAATTTCCCACCTATATAATATATTTGCGCTTTTTAATAATTATTTTGTTAATCAAAAAGAAATTATATTAAAAAATATTTATATAGGCTTAATTCAGACGCAATAAAAATTATAAAAAAATATATAATAAAATACTTCACCTTTATTTAAATTACATGCATTTTACCTCAACACTAAGTTTCAACATTGTTCTATCCAGGTGTTCATATTTTCATTGTTTATACTGCAGTATAGTAAAAATTCATTTAAGAGCTAAGAACTCTAAAAGCTTATATAAGCCTTTATTGCACTTTAAAGTTAGTTAATTGTATCATATTGTATTCATACATATATTGGAAAGAAAAGGTATTATTTCTAAGACAAATCTCTTCCAACCAAACTATGATATTGGGCAATAGTGTTACATATATAGCAAATATATTTTATAAAAGTGGAGTTATGTTATATATAATACAGTTAGTTGTATATAATATGTAATTTTCTTTTATTATGTTTAAAAATGTTCAGTACAAATAATGATGATTGTTTTGTTTGAATAAATGTTAAATCTAAGTATATGTTTTTAATAACTTAGATATACAAAAATGAAACTTTAGTATATAACAATTGTTTAATTTCATATTTTTTTATCAATTTAAAAAAAGGTTCTTTTATGCTATTGTATTCAGCCATTTTTATAAAATTAAACACTTAGGTAATTCAATGACATTTACACATGCAACTTTTAATCGTCAATTTAATTTAAACTTAGTATAGACTGTCCGTGAGGAATATACCACCGCCTTGGAAGGCAGTTGTGCTGAGAAGAACCGGCGAGAAACTCAACAGTTGCTCTTTTAAATATCGTTGAGTTACATTTTATTTACTTTATAAAATTGTAACATTGCATGGGTCAAAACAGCTTCACTTACGCCATCTTTTAACGTGTTTAGCTATTACCGTGTATGAGTTTTGTAACACAATTGTAAGAGGGAGCTTTTTTTTTCCAATAAGAAAAAAAAAGATTATTAATTCTCATTTGGTCCTTGTCTTATGCAGGCAGCCGAATGTGTATGATATGGTAGTAGTTATTAGTGAAGGCAGCGATGACTATTACTCAATTATAAAAAAAATTACCTTACTGAATCAATTTAGATGAAATTTGGTAAGAAGATAGTTTGAGACCCTGGGAAGGACATAGGATGGTTTTTATTCTGGAATCCATCCCGTCCCATGGGTATGAAAGTTTGTATGGGGAAGTAACCTAAATTATAAAAATGTTATTCATTGGTAAGCACAACATTTGTTCGTTTGTTTTTTGTTTGAACGAGCTCATCTCAAGAACTACTAATCCGATTTAAAAAATTCTTTTTGCATTAAATAGCCCGTTTATTGAGGAAGGCTATAGGCTATATATCATACAATATATAATCTATCTCTTCCATACTAACCGTTAAAACGTACCTAGGGACGAACCCGAGCGAAGCGAGAGTGAGTCACTAGTATGTATGTAAATAATATGGGTATTCTAGGTTAGAAAGTGAATAGATATACCTATAGCATAATGACACTAAGATATGACATTAAGAATAGCTTACTTTCCTTCGGCGTCATTTTTTAAGATTTCGTAGTGAAATGGCAGAAATGTAACCCATATAATTTCGACACATCTATCCGTACCTTGGAGTATTACAGTATGTCATATCCATTTTATTCGGTGGCTATTGGTACCTACATATATACCTTCTTGAAATTTCGAAAGTGTATAATTAAAAATTTTGAACACATAAGTTTGTGGGGTAATAAAAGAGGTGGATGTTTTTAAATGACGTTTTTTAAGCCAATAATTGCCGAGTAAGATGCTTTCACAGTCTTGTTTTTGTTACGGTACTTAAAAGAAAACAAAATGGTCATTTCCTTTAATTCCGAAGACGAATGAAAATTGCAAGTAGGTAGGTACTGAGCTAAAACAGATTGAGCCACTCGTGTGGTTCGCTGGTAATGATAGAAAAAAAAACTATGTTTTTGGCACACAAAATAATAACTCTAATTGAGTTATTATTGAATGTTCCAAAAACATAGTTTTTTTTTTCAAAAACAAAGATTGTCGTGAACGACGAAGTGGAAACTACGTATCATCTATTGAGCTTTTTTAACTTATAGTTTGATCATTTTGTTGATGAGGTTCTTTATTTTTTATAGACTATAAAAAATATAATAAAAAAACTATTAAAACGGAAAAATATTTCTTAGTATACCAATTATAGAAAATACTAGCATTGCCCGCGGCTCTGCCCGCGTTCAGATGACCCAAAACCAAATTCTTAGGTTTTACATATTAGTATACTCTTACATTGCAGGTTATGTATTTTTTCTCAGAAATGAGACATTTTCCCGCGGTAAAAAGTATCCTATATGTTGACCCGAATAACCAGCTATCACCATACCAAATTTCAACAAAATCCCTCTAGTGGTTTTTCTGTGATACGGTAACAGACAGACAGACAAAAATTGTAAAAACTATGGATTCGGCCTCTGTATCTATAATAATGTTTGTTTCAATAAGATTTTCCAAAAAATATTTAATGTACAGATTCGGCTTTGTCACAATTTTATTATATGTATAGATTTGCAATAGTTTATGTTATTTACGAAGAAATCCAAACTCAACTTAAAACCTTACAGAAAAACGTATTAGTTAAGTATAATTTTAGATAATTTCTAAACGAATTTAACCTCGTTGCTTTTTTTTTTAAAGAAATAAAACACTTAAAACCAACAATAGCAGATTCGAACATTATTCGATAATTTGATAAGCAAAGCCAAGCTTTACATTACGCGACCTTCACACGGTATGCTTATCTGTGTTACCTTACACTGTAATGCAATTAGCTAATTAACAAAACTATAATCGTTGGATTTAAGTTTAGATGCGTGTAAAAAGATTCTGTGAGTATTATACCTACTAACTATCAAGAACACTAAATATCAAGACAATAACGATTTAAAATAATATTTACTAGCGACTAATCCTCGCTTCGCTTCGGGTTCGTCCCTAGACAAAAACATCTATCCCACAGGAGCCGTAAATTTTCCGGGATAGAAAATACCCTATGTGCTATTCCAGACTATAATTTATTCCTGTGCCAAATTTCATCCAAATCCGTTCAGCCGTTCTGGCGTGAAAGAGTAACAAAGATCCATCCATCCTCGCAAACTTCACATTTATAATATAACTAGCAATGCCCGCAGCTCCGCCCGCGTTCGGATGACCAAAAACCAAATTCTTAGGTTTTACATATTAGTATACTCTTACAATGCAGTTTTTGTATTTTTTCTCAGAAATGAGATATTTTCCCGCGGTAAAATGTATCCTATATGTTGACGACAGACAAAAATTCTATAAACCATAGATATTTCAATAAGATTTTCCAAAAAATATTTAATGTACAGATTCGGCTTAGTTACAATTACGACTCCGCTTGCATGGTTAGCGGGACACTCCACTCTGGAGAGCACACCAAAGACGAGGAAGGTTCGTACTGTCGCCACTCATCAATAGCTTGCCACAAAACTGCTAAAACTGCTTTATTTATTATTCTTAAGAAATATTTGCTCAGTTTTTTAAGGTCTTTTATGTTTTTTCAGTCTTCCTTTGCTACAAGGAAACTCGTACGTTGTAATGATATACTTATAAATACGGTGAAGAAACAGTAAATTATATACCAAATTTACATAGTTACTAAACATGGCTGTAAAATTTCTAAAAGGAGCAGCAATCGCATTTGAATATCTTTCAAGCGTCCTGTTGCGGTGCGATGATGCAAAATATTTAATTGATTAATAATGGATCAAAAACAATCAATAATATTTAACTCAGTTTTGTTGTTTTAGCAATAATTCAGTTGAATTTACAAATTTACTAGCTGACCCTAAAATTTGAATAATAGGAATTGTATAATAAAACGCACTTATGTATAGGTATACTATTTTCCACAATTTGTTCATTTTTCGGGCAATGTTTCCAATTTTTTACATATATGTATGTATTTATGTTTATAAAGTATGGTGAATCAAATACAAGTGTTCAATTAATAGTCTTTTAACCATTATACAAGTAAAGTTGCGTGCTTAAATTAGTTTTTTTACGTAGTTTTGTTTATACAACATAGAATCAACAAAAACAACATAATATGTAGTGATGTACCAAATAGGTAACAATTTTCATAATTTTAACTTTTAATTTTTACATTATAAATACATAAT